GCAGATACTTACCGTCGCATTTCGTTTTTTTATCTAATAATTTATATTGTCAGAACTAGCAACATGTCTCTTCACTCAACAATAATTACAAAAGTGAAAAGGAAATGATAAATTGCTTATATTTTGGTGAAACTAAAAATTAATTCAGCACACATTTTTTTTTACAGCGTTGAAGTCCAGCTCCAAAGGACAGCTGACGATCGTAGCCGAGCAGGCTGTTTGGTACTTCTTCACTATTTCTTAGAAGTACCCGTTAGTACCGATCATGTCTCACATAATAAGCTATTGGAACAAAAATATGCATGTTCTTCTAATTATTCTCCTTCCACACTTTAAATAAATACTTTTGAAATGCATTTACTAATTAATTTCACAAAAACGGCTTGAAATTTTACAACGTCAAAATACTTATTCCAATTTCCATCATGAAATCACCACTATATTACTTGCTTACAGAGCCGTGCGCACAGTGCGCGCAGTTTTATCGTGACGTCAGGCGTATATATCTTTCCCGAGCGAAAAAAACAAACATTCCAGTTTTTTGGCGCTTTTGTTTCAATTATGGTGGTTCTGTTCGAAGGCTCATACAGATGGTGTTTGCGCAAAATTTCTAACGGAAAATCACCGACTATTTAGTGTCGACAGCTGCATATTAACTTTTTGAACACGCCTCCATCACTGCTTGTTTATTGGCTGTCCGTGGTATTGGGATTTGGGCTGTGTTGCTGTATATACCGTGTGTTGCTGGGTGATTGTGATAATATTCTGATGATTAACCTTTTTATTCAGCGGTAGAGACCCACAAGTTGACTCCATTATAAATATTGTCTCTTTATCATGAAACAGACTCAGAAACCTTGGCATGAATGCTCTCAGGCTCTCAAGAGAATGTTGAAATTCAGGTCTCAAAAGATTAAAATTACAATAATGAAATGTTTCACCTACCTTCCAAGCCATAAACACTCATATTGGTACTGGATGGAACTTAAAATAAAAAAGAGGGGTGGATAATTAGGGGTTTGTAGCACCCCCTGGGATTTTCCACCAATGAAGTAGGTACCTATATGCTGCAGAGACCAGGGCCCTGTTTCACCGTTGATAGCAGCATGCTACTATCAAATTGCGCGAGCTGACGTAATGTGATGAGGTCACACTTATGACGTTTCGTGTAATCTGTGAGCTGCGTTTGGAACAGAGTTGCTGTTTCGTTGAATGCGATGTGTTTGATCGCACGACCGTGAAGCTGTTGGCAGCAATGTTTGATGACATCACACAGATTGACGGCGTCATGGTTTGCTGATGTTTCCGTGGAAACCCAATTTGACACGTGTGATAGCAGCGTGCTGCCATCACCGGTGAAACAGGGCCCATAATAGCATGGTCTGTGTTGCACATATTGATGCTGAAGCTATACCTACAAATGTCTTTCAGATAACCTACTGAGTGTTCACATTCATCACAAATGCAGTCATTCTCCGGTATATTACATCTGATGTGCTGGGCATCATCAATGTCAGGTATGCACCCTTTACTTTTTTCCTATCATGCATCAGTGATGCATCCAATGTCTGAGTTCCTAAGTAGAACATATGCTATTTTCTCACCAGAACTGTAGTGTGTACTCCATAAGAAAAATGCTAATTTTGCTGAATTTTGCTCTGAATTTGCTGAAAAATGCTGAAGCAGTTGCTGACGGAGGGCGAGCGCTACCTGATGACCGCCTTCCACCTGCTCGACTTCTCCGAGCAGGGCCTGTACGACGTGGTGGCCAACCTGGGCAGCCTGGCGGCCCGCTTCCTCTTTCAGCCAGTCGAGAAGAACGCCTACGTCTACTTCTCGCGCACAGTGGAACGGGGAAAGGTAGGTGGCAACGTGGCTGATTGTGTGGTAGGAGGTGATTGATGTTAGTTTTTTTTGTGTTTTTTTTTTTACTGAGGAGTAGTGGCATTTGGTGAAAATATCAGTAACGTTGACCACAGTGTGTCGATGCCCGGTAAGGCGCCGAAAAAGCTGTAAGCACACACTCCTCTGATATTAGCCAATTATACTCGTAGCTACTCTTCATCTCCGCTATAAGTCCTTACTGCCAGTCGTTGTGATCTTCATCTTGGTGTCTTTTTTGTCATTCGGTTTGTTTTATTGCCCAGCTTCTATCCTTCTGGCCATCTCTCCCCTTCTCGCCAGTCACTGGAAGGGGACAGTTTGGCACCTCTCCTCCAGCCGGTGCCTGACAGCTCCCTCCCCCTCCAGCCGGTGTCTGCGGTGGCGGGCCGGGCCGGGTGCTACACGACCTACTCCGCGCTATGAGTCTGACCCTACCCCCTCTCCCTGCAGCCGGTGTCTGCCGCGGCGGGCCGGGTTCTGCACGACCTGCTGCGCGCCATGAGCCTGCTCGGTCTGGTTGCCGTCACGTTCGGCTGGAGCTACCCCCCCCCCCCTGCTGCTGCGGCTGTACGGCGGCGCCCTGCTGGCCGCCGGTCCGGCCGTCAGTTTGCTGCGCGCCCAGTGCGCCTACGTGCTCCTACTGGCGGTGAACGGAGTGCTGGAGTGCTACACGTTCGCGGTGATGCGCCAGGAACAGATCAATGGGTAAGTGCCGTGGAGGGTTTATGGAAAGCAGTCGGGAAATGGTCGGTGGCTTAGTAAGGAGTGAGGTAAATTAGTCGGTAGAGGCTGAGCGGATTAGGAAATGACGTTCTCATGTTGGTTTTTGTTGTTAGACTGCCTTTTGCGGCTAAAGGCGAAGTAGAAAGGCTGGCCAGTTGTGTCGATAAAGTGAAGCTAGGAACGCTACTATCGGGCGCTTTGACAGGTGTTGTGGCGTTTTCCGGTGTTTCAGGTATAACCGGAAGATGGTGCTGCTATCTGTGATATTCGTCATCTCGACAGGGATCTTTACTAGGCTATTCGGCGGGGTTGGATTTATCCTCGCCAACTGCGTCAATATGCTGACCAGGATATACGTTTGGTGAGTTTTTGTGTTTTTGAATAGATTTGATTTGTCCTAATTGGTCTAATTATTTACATCATTATCCAATCTGTCATGGATAGTCAATATCACGCTTTATCGCCGATCTCGATATACTTGGATCTCGTTACTTCACCCGTCCACGACTGATACGAATGTCTGCTGTCCCCAATAGTGTCCTGCACCCCTCTCAATTGTCATCCCGTCCCCTCCCCGTATGCTGCTGGTTCCCGATACAGTGCCCCGTGCCACTCTCAACCATCATGTCTTCGTCCCATTTTCTGCTGCTGCTGCCCGCTCGCCCCGTCCAGTGTGTTGCTGGCGCTTGATGCAGTGTCCCGTACCCCTTTCACCCTGTCCCCACCCCGTGTGTCGCTGATGCCCGATACAGTGTCCCGTACCTCTCTCACCCTGTCCCCGCCCCGTGTGTCGCCAGTTACCGGTTCGTGGCCGGTCTGCCGCTGGAGCCGGCGGTGTCCGTGCCGCCGCTACTCGGTCTCCGCCCGCCGCCCGCCGTGGCTGCCGCGCTGGTGACCGCCGGCCTGCTGGCAGCCGGCTCCGAGAGCTGGCTGTACCCCAGCTCCGCCGCCGCCCATGTGGCTGTGGGCGCGCTCTGTGGGGCCGCCGTGGTGGCCGCGGCGGTGTACAGCGAGCTCCGCCTCCTCCAGGCGGTCAGGGAGCGGGTCGGGGATAAACTGAAGCGCAGCTAGCGGGGAGTGCTACTCACATGGTCATGCAGGGAATAGGTTTGTTTTGTTGTGATATTTATGTGCATTTTGGGTTGAATATACACCGTGCCTGTAAGTAGAGTGGATGTATCAATTTTAAGACTAGTGCGACTGCAGGGGGCGTTGTGGCTATCGCCCATTTGAGAGCTGGACAGTGCTTGAAAGCAACTTCCTACCCATGAATTTTGGCATTCAGATCCTAATTATAGCCATCTGTGATGAACGATGCAGGGGATGCAGAAAATCGATGCAGAAAATCGTGGCCGGTTAGCGTCTGGTGGGGCTTGTAGGCTAATGATGGGCACGACCGGGTGCTGTATGCTATATGTGGTGACAGCAGCGTTCCTGAGCGTCAGGTGTATCTCTTGCTCTGAAGTCCAGAAGTCCTTATCGTTCTTGTGCATTCACTTTGTCAGTGCCTGATGTCAGTGTCAGTGTTTGTCAGTGTTTCATTCTGTAGCAGACATGCAGTCATATTTGGTTAAATAGAACCTTGCAGTCTGAGGCAGTCTTTTCATTACAGTACCTCATTACAGCGTCTCATTCATTACAGTTCAATATTTAGAAATGCAAGACATTGGGGCCGATCGGGCATAGAAATACAAAACAACAGTATACGCTCGCTGGCTATTATTCTGAGACTCAGCATTGAACCTGCCATCACTACAATACAGGAGGCGACAGGTGTAGAGGTGATGTCATAGGTACTCATTTATCAAGTTCAAGTTCTGCTGACTTGACCCACAAGTTGACTCCATTATAAATATTGTCTCTTTATCATGAAACAGACTCAGAAACCTTGGCATGAATGCTCTCAGGCTCTCAAGAGAATGTTGAAATTCATGTCTCAAAAGATTAAAATTACAATAATGAAATGTTTCACCTACCTTCCATTGCCATAAACACTCATACTGGTACTGGATGGAACTTAAAATAAAAAAACAGGGGTGGATAATTAGGGGTTTGTAGCACCCCCTGGGATTTTTAGAATTATCTACCGCTGAATAAAAAGGTTAATCATCAAAATATTATCACAATCACCCAGCAAAACACACGGTATATACACTATACAGCAACACAGCCCAATACAACAGACAGCCAATAAACAAGCAGTGATGGAGGCGTGTTCAAAAAGGTAATATGCAGCTGTCGACACTAAATAGTCGGTGATTTCCCGTAAGAAATTTTGCGCAAACACCATCTGTATGAGCCTTCGAACAGAACCACCACAATTGAAACAAAAGCGCCAAAAAACTGGAATGTTTGTTTTTTTCGCTCGGGAAAGATATATACGCTGACGTCAGAGGGTGCTTCCTCAGTGGCGCCCCCTGGCGGGGAACGCGTGCAAAAAGTCCAGCTCTTAGGCATGTCCCGTTTGAGGCAAGCGTGCTAGTGGATGCGTTTTGGTAAGATTGATACGGCCTTGCCAGATTACTTGTGATTTGTCCTTAGTGATTTATCTGTCACTCAAAGTGGACCAGAACAAGCGCCTTATTTCATCAAGTCAGCGGCCCATCACAATCTCAATCTACGCTTTTTGGTGGGTTGAGGTTGAGTTCAAGTTGGGTGAGTTGCAACCCAGCTTTTCTTCAAGGAGCCAGATATGTGTTGGGATGGCATCCAGGAGGAAAACTAGTCAAATATAAAGAATTTGATGGCAGTGTTAATCCCTGCACTGATGGCACATTAGGTACTCACTCCACTAGGCACTATGATGTCATCAGCCTTTTGATATTGATGCGTCAGTTAATATCCTCCAAAAACAAAAATGAATTTTGAAATCTAGTTTTCTTGATATTACATTTTCTCATATCAGTCTGAGATATGTACTTACCTTGGTGGTTTAAAGTACCTACCTACCTAGTACCTACCCAAAGGCCAATAGATTTTAGGTATAATGATGCTAGATCAAGCTTGTGCTAGTTCTTTCGCGCATCATAAAAATACCCAAAATGTTTTTCTTTTAAAAGTTTTTTTTTCTACCAAATTTCCAAATTTGTTGGTTTTCTGGAAATGTGGCAAATTGTGGAATGGATAAATTTGCTTGCGGAATTTCTTTTGAAATAACATGTTGAGGGAGTATCAATCCATTGAATGCATTTCATGGACTATGCATTTTTCCTTTGCATGGTGAAATTGCATTTTTGCACCCTAGCCTAGGCTCATCTTCTTCTTCTTAGCTTTTAGTTCCACCCATCGGATGCACCACAACCACTAGGTTGTCCTCACTGCTGGCTGCTCAAAATTCAATAAAAACCACACCATATTATCACAAGCCATATATCAACCTAGAAACCTGTTCAAATAATCATTAACTCCTTAAAAACAGCTACACCTCAAGCAAAACAATAAAACCTAACCTAAGCTGACCTAAGCTTACCTAATGTAACCTAACCTCCTACCTGACTCAAAATGTGGCCAGGTGTAATGTAGAAATGTTGTGTGTAAAAAAGTATTCTTAGTATTGTGTGGTTTCTTTTTTTCAAGCTAAGGAGGATGCATTCTTTCCTTTAATACCTTTATTTTATCAATTTCTCCAGTTTTTAGAGGGTGCAAAAAGTAAAACTAGATAGGTATAGCCCTATGTATGGCTGGGTACTGGGTAGGCAGTGGGCTTGGTGTGTCACAAAGGACTTTAATCTCTCAGCCTGCATCTTTTTATATTTTCAATTCACCACCTAGTAGACACTGCATCAGTGATGCACTGTATAATGTATGCACCCTATTGAAGTTAGGCAGAAAGTGACAAATTTTCCAATAGCTCACATTTAATAAGCATGGTAGGTATTTATTCATTGATTCATTTGCCAACAAATATCATGGCCAATAATTGTGGATACCAGACTGGAAAAAGCACAAGTTCAGCCGAATATTCCGGCGTAGTGGCGAGATTGTCCCGAAAATTTTAGCGCACGTCCGGCGTAACTTCGTATACGCTGAATTCAACGCATGGCGGCCGCTGAATTTTTCGGCGCAGGGCGGCCGCATAATTTTTTTCCGGCGAATGGCGTTCACCGAAATTCTCGGCACGCTGGTCGATCTAGCAGCACATTCGCCCCGCGGGCGGCTCTGGAGAGGCTCAGGACGCCTGTTCGGGACGAGACGTCCCCCATGCTCCGACTCACGTCGTCGCGTGCTCCGACTCACGAGCCGCCTTGAGTACTCAGTGGAGGAGCGGCCGCCCAGGTGAGGCCTCCACCCTCGGCGCTGAGATAGGTATGGGAGACCTTGTTGAACATCGCCGAGGGTCGTGAAGTAATCCTGCAGTGGGTTCCTGCCAAAGTTTCTGCCTGCTGCGGGATCGAGGGAAACTAGAGCGCTGCGACCTGGCGAAACAAGGGGCCGCCCTGCCCTCGGACGCCCGCTCGCTGACCCGGGTGGTTCATTGTGCGGCCTCGCGTCAAATGGCGCGACAACTGGTCCGAGTTACCATTCAAGCCACTCTTAGCTAGCACGCTGCCACTCCCCATCCCCGGAGAGGATCGGGAGGACACCGACCGGGAGGATGCCGTTTCGGTGCACCTGGTGAGGGCGGGCCCTGGTCGGCTGTCTCCCCTCCGCGGCGTGCCAGCAGTGCCCGGACAAGCGGTGCCCGTCGCGCTTTGCGCCGAGTGAAGAGAAGAGGCTGATGTGCTGAAGCACGTGCTGCTCCGCTGCCCAGCCCTCTCTGGCGCCCATGCCAGCCTCGAACACACCGCTCCGCCGATTTTTGTGGCCCTGGAACTTCTGGCCTGGACCTTGTTCCACGGCACGATACAGTGCGCTACGCGTATTGTGGTATTGGATCAACTAGTTAGTTGATTCAGACATTCAAACATGGGAGAGCGCTCAAGGCTCCGGGACGCTCTGTCTGGTTGATATAGCCTTAGTCGGTAGATGTGCACACGTGCTTTAAATATAAGTGGCTTAATTTTGGCACAAATAGGACTTTCGGCGCAAATCGTGCAGAAACTTATGCGCTAAATCGCTTGCGCAGAATTTCAGCGCATGAGGGTCTCACGGGCGTCCGGCGTATTGCAAGAGTGTTTTCCAGTCTGGTGGGGACAGGCCGAAAGATGAACAGAATCAATAGGGGCAATCCAGCTTGACAAAAAGTGACATTATTGTCCTTTTTTGCTGTTTCGTATGATGTTCTCTTGAGGCATATTGTTTCCTAAATTGATGGGTTGTAGTGTTCCTTTGGTGATATGAAGCTCCTTTATGAAGCTTCCTTTGGCTCATATGAAGCAGGGATTTCGCATTCATTACATCATGGTGTACCTATAATAATTGTGGAAATCGCCATTATGCAATGCTGTACTTCAAGATTTGTTGACGAGATTCACTCTCCTCAAGAGTTGTGAAACTTTAAATATAAGTACGAGCGTCCTTAAAGCTGCTTTTCTCTCGTTTATTTCACTACGTCGGCTTCAAACAGTAGCCGACACCCTTTCATCGCCCGGATACTTTCGGTTTCGGTGTTTCGATTGGAAACGCCCATGGGGCGTGCACCGTAAAGATTGGTCAGTTGTATACGTTGCAGATGCTTCGATGCGCTTTTTTTGGTGTGAGTAACATTAAAATTCTAGCGAACATCACATCTGCAGCCGTGAGACATTACAGAGTCATTGTGTTTGAAATTTTTCTTACATATGAGATGATGCGCATTGGTGACCTAATTGTGCAATCAATGTCAACTGAAGTTCTAGAATCCCTAAAGCCCTAGCCCTAAAGCCCCAATAAACAAACAATGAAGTTCTAGAATCGTCATAAAATCTTGAATTGTTCGTATTTTTAGCGCTTGAAGGCATGGAATTGGTGACAAACCCATGGTGACAAATTGTTGGGCTCCAACTCCCAATGGTGACACACCGAGGATGTTTCCCAGCCCTGGAAAATCGGAATACCGACACCAGACCAAATACCAACCAAAACCATCAGGAAATACCAAAACCGAACCAACTTGAGAAGATGAGGAAAATACCAACTTTTTACCGATTTTTCAACCTTGTATACATTAGCAAGGGTTCATAATACCAACAAAATACCAAAAACAATCGGATTGAAATACCAAATACCAACTTGGTGTCGGTTTGGTATCGGTATACCCACAGTGTATATAAATATATACCTACCAAAAAGTTGGTATCCGATTGACATCACTAGTCAGTACTTAGGCAATAAACAGGGAAGCGTAGTCGAAAATAGGCAAATAACCGCATGAGCTATATATCATATAGGCCATAGGGCCTACTTCAAGCCTCAAGGACTTATTCCAACTTCAAAGCCTCCTGAAGCCTCCATGCTTTTTCATTATTTCCCAGCCTGGCAGCACCATAAGCACCCGATTCATTTTAGCAAGGCCATATAAGTTCATTTTAGGCCACAATAACGACGGTCGGGCTTCTTTCTTGCTCTTAATCCCTAAAGTGGCTAATCAGAATTGTGCCCTTCTTCAGTGAGAAATAAAAAGAAACGAAAAGGCTGGACTTCTCAGTCCCACACAATAAATGACAGCTGTTTAAGAAACTCCCTGTGAATATTTACAGCAGCCTTGACATAATTTGTGATCGCGACGAATGCGGCGAAAAACGGCGCGGATTTTTTTGTGGTATTTCCATTATAGAGTTCAGTGGCTTGGTGGGTATTTCCAATTTTGTAAATTTATTTGAAAGGTAACTAGTGAGAGCCACATTGAGATTGAGTCGGTTTATATTTTATTTGCATGAAAAACGGCATGTGGCCTTACATCTGATACTATATTTTATACCACTGAACTTTTTAGTGGATACTACACTTGAATCGATCGAGCCAATATACGGTTATATATTCCCGTAACCAATTGTAGTTCCAAGTGTTTTTTTGTGTAATTTGGTAGGTACCTAATTTTGAGAACTTTGAATGCAAGGTTGTTCCATTAAGGCAATGAATATATCACATGAAGTTTCACTGCAATAAAAATGACGATTGCCAGCGGAATTGGAATCCACAAATTATACCACTTAAAACTAGTGTGACAATCTCTGAATCTGTATCCGGAAAATGCTTGTTCCCTCAAATCTTCACTCATTACCTGCTCGTTAATTCGCCTGTTAAACTCACCTGTTAAGTTTCCACAACCTCAGCTCGTAAAGGAAGGAGTGGAAACCTACTGCGTGCAGAGAGAGAGACGCGCCAATTCCTTGGGTGGGCTGTGGGCAGATGGCGGGACCTCAGGCAAGGAATAGGAATGGTGCATCTGCATTAGGTAAAACACTGAAATTTTTTTGCATGTTTTAAGTGCTAGAATCCTAGAAAGATGATCAGTGATGTAAATGAGAAAAAGAGGGTACCGAAATATTTTACTTTGACTTAGACTTTTGAAAATCTATGTTGTGTCAAACCAATGCTAGGACATGTTATGTTAGGTTGGGTTAGACCAAGTGTGGTAAGGTGTTCCATGATGTTATGTTTATTTCATTCATTCTTGCTCAAAACAGACATGCTGATTTCTCCAAAGATTTCAATTTGTCCTGGAATTGTATTTTCACCTGTAACATGATGGTATATGTGCAGCTGAAGTCTGAGTGGTATGTAGGTTGGTAGGTTGTAACTAGGTTGGTAGCTTCAGCTAGTTGGTTGATAGGTTGTGGGTACATAGGTTGTAGGTTGTTAGGTTGAAGGTTGACATGTTAGGAGGTAAGGTTAGGTCAGGTTAGATTGTTTTTATCTACTCGGACGTCATCTTCACAATTCACATTTACCAACATGACAAACTCATCTGTCTGGTTTCCCTGCTTGTCAGTCATCACCCCAGAAGTTTTATCATGCTGAGATTGAAAGCTACATCAGTCCACACTGTACAAGTCAGAAAGACCTGAGATTTTTACTGCTTATTCTAAATCTAAATTTAGGTTGAGGTAAACTGCAATGCAAGATGAATAGGTTAAAGAATTCAAGATCATTAGCTTATCACCTAGTTAGTCTTCTAAGTACATCGTTTTCTTGGAGAGTATTGTACAGTGCTTATTATGTCAGTAAACTCACACCAGAAGATCATTTATGTCAGAGTATATAGAACAACATCTATCTAGGGCCTAGGCATATTGCTAGATCAGGGGCTGCACCTCTTCAGTCTCCACACTAATACATGCTAGTCCAGTCATCACTAGAAATCTGTGTAGCGCCCTGTACATTGCACACTGCACAGACTGAAGCCTGAGTTTCCCCGCACCTACAATATCTTGTCTAAGGCTATAGAACTCCAAGGCCATGGCATAGAAACTTGCCAAACTTGTTACACTTTGCAGCTTGCAGCCTATAGGAGTATGCCACCTCATAGCATCCAATATATTTTGATCCACCCATGTACGGCCCAGGGCTGCAGAGTCGATGTTTTTTGTGACTGACTACAACGCTGACTCTGGGCAGAACTGTCGACCCCGACTGGCTCGGACTCCGACTCCGCAGCACTGGTTTGGCCTGTAGTCATATGATGCCGGTCTGCACCACTCTCGCAGATCTAGGAACCCAGTGGACCATGCCTTGATGTGCAGTATCTTTATTGAAATGTCATGCTTACAAGGGACAGAGAAAGTGATAAGCTGGGTATGTTTTGGTGCTGACGCATGCCTGGCCCCTCATCCTGGCCCACTGGTCCCTCATCCCATCCCGTCAGGGCAAGCTGAAACTGAGAAACAGGTCCATGCCCCTGAGAGAGAAGATCAGAAGTGGCCTCATTGCTCTGTCCATTACCTGAGCAGTAAATCAATAAGCTGAAGCTGACCTGTTTGAGTCGCTCCCGAGTCACTCCGGCACCCGGCGGTAGAGGTTGGTGGGATTTGGAACAAGTTGACTTGGCATTTACTCTTCGAAAGAGGTCTCTAGTTTCTGACTTGTGCCTGTATACTTTATCTAGCAAAACTAAAAGATGTATGGTAATGACGATTAATCGTTCAACCGCATCTCAGCACCCGTTTTGCCTGTAGGCTGTAAGACTCTGGTGTAACTGTTCTTGGGCATTTGGCCATATTATCCCGTCTAATACTCAGTTATATACGTGATTTAGTACACGTCAGTGCCAGTGGTGTAGTATATATTTAGTACCACTGACATTCATTTGTTGCAGTTATTGTGGTTCTGAGTTCTGACATACCGGTAAATGCTGGTAATAAATCATTTGTCTTATTATAAGCTTGCAACAACCAACAACACCTAACTAAGTATGTGCATTTATCATTTTCATGACTTACTGTTCACCACGTTGTGCCGTTTGGCTGTAATCACAGCGTGTGAACTTTTTACAGCGTGTGAACTGTGAACTGGTCACAAATTAAAGCAAGTACCTACCATCGATTGCAAGATGGATTCGCCCGACTCATCATTCTCAGTTATAATCCAACACAGTGAGTAACGGTGCTGGAGGAAGCAGCTGCAACCACCCTTGTGATACGATGTTTTGTGTTACCGTAAAACGGGGTGTTAAGGGACAGTTTTGAGGTGTTTTGTTATATTACTCAAGAAGGGTTGGAGATAGAAGCATCAAATTGTCAGCATTTTATGTGGAATTTGGTGCTTTACATGCCTGCCACATTAAAGTTTTTAAGATTTATACCTGCATATTATTTTTTATTATTTTTCATCACTGTCCCTTAGCACCCCAATGTGGGGTGTTAAGGGACACCTATATTATTCCAAGAAATGGTCATCAAATGCCCACAATTGGGGTGTGGAAGGGCACACAATTTATTTATTGAAATGTTTTGCATATTCTGTCACAAAACAAGTCAGGTTCATTCACCACTAATGACCTTTTTAGCCAATTACGTGTAATGCAGTTTACGCTTGTGGAAAATGTGCTAATTATAAGGTAAACAGAACCAAAAAGTAATTTTCTGTCATCAATAAAAACCCATGTTGAAGCTTGTCACTTGTCATTATGTTGCCCTCTTTGTTTTAGCCTTTTTATGATGACATCACATTTACTTACATCAGTCTCCATTGACCCATCATTGTAAAAGAGAGTGTTGAGATGTTTTGTTACATAGCTTAAGATGTGTTAGAGATAAAAGCATGAACTTGCTAGCATTTTATGTGGAATTTGGTGTTTTCCATGCTTACTTAACCCGCGCCCTGCTGGGGGGGGGGGGGGTGTTTGAACACCCCCCCCTTGTGGTTTTTCGCGAATATCTCAAAAACGGCGGCGCGGAGCGCCGCCGTTTTTGGTACACCTTATCGTACATCAATTCTACACATGTTGTGAAAATTTCAGACCAAAGTCATTCAAGGTCAGGTCACCAGGTCACTTGAAGTGACCTCACCTCATAAAAAGTTTCAATGTCTGTCATAGCTACACCGAGTGACCGATCGCTTTGAAACTTTCAGCGATTGCTAAGAGCAATAGCATGTACAAAATGTATATCTCAGAATTTTGATATCGATGACCTAAGGTCAGGTCAATTTTGCGACCTCCCCGTTATAAGTCAATGGGAGAAAATTGAAATGCGCCTCTTTTGGACAAAAGACATTATAAACACTCCCAAACACCGAATTACAAGTGGTTTAGACACACTGAACATAAAAATAGTGTCCGTGACCCTTGTTTATGCCCTGAGGTCATCTTAGGTCACGAATGGTATCTAACAGTTTTTCGCAAATAACTTTTGATAGAGGCATGCTAGAGCGATGAAAACGCCTTAGATGTGTTCAGCTCGACGATACGGATCGACTGATATGCAACATGACCCTTTCCGGTCAGGTCATGACCTTGACCTGAGGTCAAATTTTCAAGTTGACCTTTCAAGGTCAACTTATAGTTCATTCGATGCGTCTTGACGAGAGGAACACAATGCCGGTAAAAGTAAGCTCGTACAAGGCTTGGGTCAAAAGTTATTGCAGAAAAACTGTTTCCGAAAAAATCGGCTATTTTTGCAATGTTTGCCCCCTGCAGGCAAAACCGTTGACGTTAGGTCAAATCTGAGAGAATTACTCAGAAAGGGCGTTAATAGGGCTATCGAATGCGCTTTTCCGCGGCGCTGTAGCTCTATTGGTTCTCGAGTTATGCGTTGGCTTCTTGGAAATTTTCGACATTCGACCTGGAAATCGGCGAAATTTTGCCTTCAATGACCTCTGGTGACCTGACCTTTGACCTGACCAAAAAATTGACCGAAGTGATTTCGTCATTATTTTTGACGCTCTTTCGAACGCCGCCTTCCGCGTATCGCTACGTGGCCCAGGAGCCGAGTTACAAGGGGGGGTGTTCAAACACCCCCCCCCCCCCAGCAGGGCGTGGAAATCCAGGACCCCCAGCCGGGCGCGGGTTAATTAAATTATATTTAGATTTTATTTTTTATTTTTTCTTCCCTGTTCCTTACCACCCCACATCCACCTCAAAATATGCATGTATCCGGAAAAGAGGAAGAGGATGATGAATGAATGGGTGGATTTGCACAAGTTTTTTCAGGAAACATGTGCAATACATGTGACAATACACCTATGCATTCATTTTCCCTGTACACCCACTAGTTTATGTGGTACACACAGAGTTTTGGAGATGTTTCAATTTTGTGAAAATGTAGCATGATTTTCAAATCCATTTTTGAACCAAATTACTTGCATGAAAAACCATACCATTTTCTCCTATGGTCAAGAGCAAAACAGTGTCAACTACCACACTGAAGTTTTTATTGAACCTTCTCAAATTAGGAAGTTAATATGACTCAAAGTTTTTCCCATGCAACTGTCCCTTAACACCCCACTGTCCCTTAACACCCCATTTTACGGTACCGCAAAATGGCACATGACACAAAATTTGATAACGATGCATACATACACATTACACAAGTCCTCATGTAATAGTCTGCAGTGAATGAGTGTCTAATTATGTTTCATTTATCATGTGTAGTTTTGATCGTTCATCATTGTATTTGGTATGGTATAGCAAGGAGTGTGGCGCTATCTTATCAGTTATCATCCTGTTACTAGTCTGATATCATAAAAGCATACTTTTTATCATAAAAGCTGCTTCTTTTGCCATTGTGAATGCAGAAGTGTCAGATGACTTTCTTTGACCAACACGCTTCTTTGACGCTTCTTTGAAATTAACCAACAGAAACGCTTCTTTGACTCACGCTTTTTTGACCGACAGAAACCTCTGTGTCAATAGTTCTTAGTTGTAACGATGCATTATTAGTGATTTTTTTTCTCTTCCAGTGGGTAGGAAGGAATCGGTTGCCCTACCAGCTGATATCACCCTGGGCGACTTCCAGAGGACCGTCGAAGACATGACGCACGTGCCGGTAGCGGCGCAAAAAGTCGTGCACAAGTACGGAACCCGGGACGGGGTGTCATATGGGTGGGGTGAGCCTCCATTGACATACCCAGGCGGGACACATTTCGGGCATACTGAATATGTGTATTGTGTTACATATGTGTCGTGTGTGATGGGGTTGGGTTGTATTGGGGCTCGCTCGGCGCTTTTTGAGTAAGACGTCGGACACACCACGAATTTGTCGTATGATAAAGGGGTTCTCAAACCATCGATTATCCTTACCGTTCATACTGCCATGAGCCTTTTCTCGGGTGACCCGAACGAGTGAGCGTTCATGGAACGATTCCATTGGTGGCGGCGCCAGCAGCTCCCTCTCATGGCCGCTGGAGGGTGCGAAAGCTGCGCCGCTTCCCCGCTGCTTCACCAACGTGCGGCATGTTTTGTCATATAAATCCTATATTCTGTTTCAACATGATATTTCATGAGGGTTGCTAATTCATGTGCTTTTGTTATGTGTGGATATAGTGAAATCGTGTAATTCTTTTGGTTGTATTGGTGTGGAATAACAACCACCGCCGCTCGATCCGAAGTAACTTCGCTCTGAGGCCTCTTGCACCAAACTACCTAGCTAGGTAAAATCGAAAAACCGGTTTCAGAATAAGCTAATCTAACGGTGATAAATTTGTTTGCAATAGCCCAATACATAATCCTACATGTGCTTGCTAAATTTTGCACGCAAATTGTTACATTTGAGACTTGGACTGGGTATACGATGCAAAATAATCCAAGCATTGGTGCAAGAGGATTTTGGTGCAAGAGGCCTCTGGTTGTTATAACCCCAGCCTCGTGACCTTTGTTTCAGGGGTCGTGACCTGGCCCGTAATGACTCGGACGTTACGCTTCAGGACTGCCGGGTAAAGAACAAAGACATCGTTATGATCCTGGGTGGGTCCTAGTTGGGCGCACTGCGCTACTGGAAAACGGCCTGTGGTGTCAGTGTTTTCGTGGTGCCTGTTGCCATTTGACAGTTGGTTGTTTCACAACACTAAGACCGTTGATTTTGTATTCTAGTTTTTAGTGATCTCTGTCTAATTACGATGTTATCTAAGCTTCCTTGATTATGAATCCAACATGACTCTATCTGCTATACGGAGTAATAGGCATGTGAACAAGCTGACGACTCATACAGTTAGTTAGAATAAGGCTGTGTTCGCCAACGAAGAATCTTTGCTGTTCAGCTTAAAAATGCCAATCGTAGTAAATAACATAATGCCACGGACAGCTTTTTGAAGCCGTATAGTAAGGAATCCCCGCCACCCTGCTGATGGTGAAGCGAATGCAATCTTACTTTAAAGCAGAGCTTCTGCACACTTTGCCACACCCCCGAATATTTTCGTGCATTACCATCGGGCGCTACCGACTTTTGGTCCCATTCTTTCCATGCAACGCCCATAAGGCTAATGTTAAAATCGCAAAATCAAAGGGGGGGGGGGGGCACGGTGCCCTGGTGCCCTCCCCGTTCCGCCGCCTATTCACGGGAGGTCTTCCCGCCTACCTCTGACCCCAAACTGACACATGCCCCTGCCTACCAGGTCATCCCGCGTTCCCTGATCCCAAACTGACACGTGCCCCCGCCCGTCAGGTCTTCCCGTCGATCCGGTGAACGATGAGACCCTGGCCGCCATCGCCGCCCTGGAAACCCAGTCTGAGGCGGTGATCACTCGACTGGACGACATTCAGAAGGATCTGGACGGCGCCCGAAAGGTACGATAGAAATCCGGGATTCAGATTCAGATTCAGATCCAGATATATTCGAATAAGGTCCACAATAAACATGACTTTTCACTCATTCACGTCATATGTAGAACATAATTGGATTGGGTATTTTGAGCTTGTAGACATTGTGGGTGTGGGGTGTTGTGGGGTTTAGACGCTGTGCAACCTAGACGTTGCCAATGTTTATGTTTTGCAAGCAGGATGCTATGAGTCCTGAATGCTGCTCATCCCTTTTTATCTGCCCTAGAAATTGCTGACTGGCTGTACTGCCGTCCAAAGACAAAAAGGATATATCGGTTCATGACCTGACCCGACATTTGCGTTTTTGCCTTTGGACGGCAGTGTACTGTAACTGTGGAGTTATGAATACGCTATTTAACCGGGTCTAGCCAGAGTAGGAGGTTGTGAATTGGTATGTGCTGAGGGACACCACGAGCGGTATTTTGTTTGTCGTGTGGGTGCTGTTAAGCAGAGGCGCTTACATTTAATTTTACCCTATGATTTGAATCGAAACATCATTGGCTTGTACCAACCAAACATTGAATCAAACGCGTTTAGACCACCAGCACCCAGCTCACAATCATGTCTCCCACTTCACAGGGTTTCCTTCCAGCCAGGATGGCCGCCGAGGTGCGTCCCAAGCTGGAGAAGCGCCTGTTGACCGTCTCCGAGGAGCTGATGCGCCTGCTGGAGCGGCTGGATTCCATCTCAGTGGGCCAGAGCTCAGAGTCAACGCGCCGAAAACGAAAGGCCGTCGTGACTGCCATCAACGCCCAAATGGATAGGGCAGATAAACTGAAGGAGAAATTAGCAGAAATTGGCTCATAGGTTGAGATAGGTAGATATTAGGTATTTATCGATATCTATATCAGTGAGAAATGAATAGATATTTGATTTTTATCTATATCAAGTGTTGGACGGGTCAGATTCAGATTTTGGTTCTTGGCTTCAAGTGCTGGTTCCGGGGTCTCCCGCTAGAGGCGCTGTAGTAGCGGCCCTAGTTCGGCGTTCTGCCGCCAGAGGAGCTGCCACGGTTGCGAGCTTCTGATCCTCGCCGCTTGGCGTGCGAGCGCAGGTGATGCTTGATTTCTGGTGATGCTCTAGTGAGCTTCGATCAGTCTTGACTGCCGTCCTGAAAGCTCCTTTGGCAGCTTGGATGTGTTGTTCTGGGCCTAACACGCGGCCTCGCCAGCTTATTGCCCGACTAGCGCATGACTAGCCCACGACTAGTACCTGACTAGCGATAGTCAACAGATAGCAAGCACTAATCAACACCTAAGGCCATGACTAGTACCTGACTAGCGACTGGCTGTAGTCGCCATATTATGCGTCTACGATGCGTCATGCGAGTCCTTTGGTTGTCAGAAAATGCTTGAGTGACTTGAGTGGCTTGGCTGACTTCTCATATGCGACGACTGAGGATTGACCTGCCGAGTTAGCGACTACCGACTGCGTTTACCATCGAAGAATTGACTTTGAATCACTTTCGATTCAACGGTAAATCAGAAGACCTATTATAAGATAACAGTCGTCGCGGGATGGGGCTCCAGATTGACCAAAGTTGCGAAATTAAGAGTTTTCTGGTAAGTAGGATCAATATTGGTTGTAAGTTGTAACTTTGATGAACGAATTGTCTATTACCAACTGGATGACTTTTTAGGGAGCTGTACTGCATGGAACAGACGGCGTTCTTTTTCGCCCCATTTCGAGTCGAAACCACGACGATAGTGGACAAGTTTGACAGAGTTTTTCCACAACGAATTATCGACATTGCCAGGATGCTAGTTTTCTTATCGCTGAAGCGCTACTTGTCTTGCTTGTCATACGCTTGCATATGGTCTGTTGGGATTATACTCAGTGCTAAATGGGTAAATTTTCCGTCCAATGCACGGCGCATCGGTGCATTCGAATTTGTGCAGTGCACTAGTTGATCACAGAGGGGGACCAGCTGTGTATCTTCTCCGAGAATCGAGGACCATCTTAGTTCAAATCAAATGTGTTCATTTTCAACGTGAGATTATGGTAGCCTTTTCAAAGTACACAGAATGTTCACCGGTATTCTTTACCGGGTGGCACTGCCAGCTTTTATTTGCATTTATTTGTGACATGGAGTAAATGTTTCGGCAATAAGCTATATTTTACAACATAGGCGGATGTTTTAGGCTATGACGACTTTGAATAACTGGACATTGTGTTTTTGCTGAGGCCAAACCTGGTGTGTCGCTCTATACGCTTAACATGTTGATGTAATGCGATGTGCAAAGTCGCTGAGTTTTTGAACAGCTCCTGCAACGAATAAAACACATCGCTTAGCCCTCTGTTCGTGTGTTTTCAAAATGTGGCAATGCGCGCTTTGAAGTCGAAAATCGTTCTCATCTACATACTTGTGGCGACTTTGGCTTACAAAAGATATGACAGTAACGGCAAATGGAACACTTTGAAGGATAATCCAGTTCCATGCTCATCCGTGCTTGTGAAGTGATGGTCCGTTCCTGAAACTTTGATGTCGTTTGAATTCATTTATAGGATAGGTGAACTTGTAGAATGTAGATGTTCCATTTGGTTCCACTCCCAGTTCATTGATTTGGAAATCCCATGGGTGCTTTATGCCCACAGCTACGAAAAGAAAACATGATCTTTTAAACCCGGAGAGAACGTTTTTAACCGTTAGCTTCCAGTGTTATCTCAAGACATTAGTTATGTAAAAGTTGAACTTTGTTTCCGGTGACCACGGTCCGACCTCCGTTATCGATCCCGGCCTCTCGGTGTCGGCTCGTCCACGCCCTGTCCGGCGCTCGCGGCCGTCCCGAGAGAAACCTCATCGCCCGGGGACGCGGTGCCGGTGCGCCAAATCCATTAATGGCGCGACGGTTTCACTTCTGGCGCAGACAAACAGGCGCCGCGGCTGGCTGGCGCGCGCTCGCTCGCGCCGTTTTCCCGCGGTGGGGAGTGGACGGGGCACCGACCGCGGCTCGCGCCAGACTGGACCGTGGGAAGTCGACGGCGGCTTTGGAGACATTCGTCGTACGTGGCAAAGATGATTGGTTATTTAATGATGCTCTTATACGGATGTTTTTGATTGGTAAAGCACGTCTTACCGCATACACAAAAATAATGGCTGCAAGTCTTTTAGGGCAGGTTTCCAGGCCGGCTTTAGTGATATCACTTTTACAGAAAGAAAGAAAGAAAAAAACGTTCGCTGTCCAGACGCACAGCTGAACGTTACATACCGTCACTAGTGCTCCAGGATTGAAAGTTGGGTCTTGTTTCTTCACATATAACCCGTAACCTCTGAGGTCAGGCCAAATGCACTGAGATATTGTCCATTAAAAAAATGCCGACAAATGAAATTCGTTGAACGATTCTGGCCCAATCGTGTTTGCGACGTCCAGTGATATGATATACTTTTCTTCTTTGTGGATGAACGATTCAGTTCTAAGATGGTCAGGCGAAAGTTGGTCCAGGGAGGTCGTGCTGCATATAATTCGTTTCTGCAGCTTTTTCTGAATTCGTTGGAGCCTTTTCCAAATCATTGTCTCTACTGTGGATGTACTGGCGAAAAACGCTAATGACTTGTGTGAAATTACGCTGCCAAGTGCTTGAGGTATATTGGAGCATATTTATCATTGCTGGCGTTATTAAACACATAGCAGGTTTCTCATTGAGCTATAACGCTGAGGTCATGTGACTGACCCGACCTCAGGTCACAGGTAACCTTCGTGAAAAATCAAAGGCACATTTATGTAAGAATCCGTAAGCTTCTTCTTGGAAGTTTCATCTCTCAGTAAAACCTGTTTTCCTGGCACTAAGTGCTGCAAAATTGATTTTTCAACGTATGAAATTAATTTTGATTGCCTCATCTGTCATTCTTGTGTTCATGTTCGTTCCTTGACATTGGGCTGCAAGACAATAATCCCGCGATATCGAATATTCAATAGACGTTTGTCGTTTGATTGTGTAGCGTGCGTGACAATTGTAGTGTGCCGCCCGTATGCACTCTTCCGTTCATAGTGGTAACCAAAATGGCAAAGACATGTGACTGGTGGACATTCGCATGACTGGGCATCCAGATCTTCCTTGCGTGAGCAAACGGTCCAATGTTTTGGATAATAGCCTTATTGTGAATGATACTCCTGTGTCTTGTGAATGGTTTTATTCCCTTTGTAACGATGCGTGACGTTCCGTGACATTTTGTGGCGCTCCGTGACGCTTAGTGGCGACTCCCTCTATGGCGCATGATTGTGGCGCGTCACGGTTGTGAAAACTATCGAACCACGCGTCAGTTTCGTCTAATTTGTGTGACCTCGCTGGCTGGTTATTAGACACTCGGGATTCTATTCGATGACTTTATTTTCGTGATGGGGTAGACACTCGCCTCACGAAGGGGCAGAGCACTCGAGTAGACAGCGAAAACCACTCACAAGGTACAGCTTCATAAAAACAACAGCGCGGCGGGCCCGCTTCATACGACAGGACCGACAAATCTACGAACACTGGCGTTATCGAAATGCTCCGGTGAAATGAGCATTCTGTGAAAGCTTTAGAACTCCGTTTGGATCGCATTAGATGTTCATTTCGATGTTCAAACGATGTTCGAGTCAGTTTTGTCGTACGAAACTTGACTCGATGTGATCGCAAAGCACACTGAGTCATCCCACACTTACACACGCATTCACACAACCACATGTTCTCGAAGCACCTGCATCCATGCGCCTCCTCGCCCTATGTGATAAGCACAGACAACAATAACAGTACGTTGAGCCGATGACGGGCCCCCATAGTGGACCCCATGAGCAATCGCGGTTCGCTGTCCCCACTACTGGCACAAGGCCTTCGACAACCCTCTCAGGAACAGCGCCCAGTACCGGTTCAAATAAATACGTTCCCGACGCGCGCACTGGCATAACCTAAGTAACAACGGTTAGTGGTGGCCAATGCAGCCATGGTCTAGCATTACCGCCCAAGCATGACCCATAACTCCACTCTCTCTCGCACGCGCTTCACTTTGTAACGCCCTCAGTTTCTCTGACATATCCTCCCTGGAATCTTCTCACGCCTATCACCTCCACGCGTCGCGCTTCACTCTTCCTTCTCTTCCGTGGCCTCTCCGAGGGCCTTGTAGAACTTTGGCCTCAGACGGGCTCCGAAAGGCACCGGTCGTCGCCTCCTGTTGCGGACCTCATCCAGACGAGAGCGAGGCTTGGGGGTGGTAGTCGTCGTCGTGGAGGCCTCAGCTTGCGGCTCCTCGGCGACAGGCGCTTCGGTGACGGTCTCCTGGTCGACGACCTCCGGCGCCTCGGTGGTGGTGGTTCGGCCGCGCTGGCGGCTGTAGAACGAGCTCAGGAACGGACGGCGCGTTGGCAGGTTGAAGAACGGCCTCCTCGTGGCGCGTGTCGGCTCCGGCGTGGTGGTGACCTCGGTGGTGGTGGTGACGGGGGCTTCCGTGACGGGAACTTCCTCTTCCTCAACCGGTACCTCTTCGACGGGGATCTCCTCGATGGTGACTTCCTCGACAGGGGCCTCCTCGGGTGTCGTCTCGTCGTCTTCGCCAGGGTAGTACACGAAGAACACATCGCTGTCGCCCTCCTCGTCAACAACCTCGACTTCTTCACCAACCGCCAGCGGGTCCTCGACGACCTCGACGATGTCGACGATGTCAACGCCATCCTCGGCCAGCTCGTTGGGTCGCACCACCTCTTCACGGTACTCAGAAGCCTCCGGGTACTGCACATCGTAGGCCTGGCCCACCAGACTGCCAGGGTTGGGGCCTCCGTAGCCCTGCGGTGCCGTCGGCACGGCCGCCGGATTGTACTGGCCAGTTACGATGTCAGTAGGATCCGGAGCTCCGTAGCCGGTCGAAGCAGACGGCGCCTGGCCACCGCCGTAGGCGAAAGAGCTCTGGATGTTGACGAAGACGTCGCCGCCGCCACCGCCGGCACCGTATCCACCGCCATTCTGCGCCTGCTGCTTCTGCAGCGACTCAAGAGTGATGATCGAGTCCGCCTCGGGCGCGGTGTAGCCCTGCTGAGCGGAGGGCGCCGAGTAGCCCTGCTCCGCAGCCGGAGCGGCGTACCCCTGCTGACCACCAGCGACGATGCTGTTGGGCCGCGGCTCTCCGTATCCAGGAGACGGCTCCTGGTAGGAGACGGCCGGCGCCGGCTGCTCATAGCTCTGCGACGGCGCCACGGCTCCCTCCGGTGAGCTGTACTGACCCAGAATCGAGGCAGCCTTCGGGGCACCGTAGGCGGCCGGATCGAGCTTGGGCGCGTTAGAGACGGGAGACGACTGCGGGGCGACCTGAGCCGTCGGATAGTACTGCGCAGAGCTGTAGTCGATCACAGAGGCCTGCTTCGGGGCGCCGTATCCGCCCACCTGGGCGCCACCGCCAGAGCCGTAGCCCTGGGGCTCGGGACCGCCATAGCCCTGCTGGACGGGCTCAGGGGCGCCGTACTCCTGCTGAGCAGGAGCACTGTAATCTTGCTGAGCCGGGGCGCTGTAGTCCTGCTGAGCGGGGGCGCTGTAATCTTGCTGGGCCGGGGCGCTGTAATCTTGCTGGGCAGGGGCGTTGTAGGTCTGCTGAGCGGGGGCGCTGTAGTCCTGCTGGGCGGGAGCGTTATAGCTCTGCTGAGCCGGAGCGCTGTAATCCTGCTGAGCGGGGGCGCTGTAGTCTTGCTGAGCGGGGGCATTGTAGCTCTGCTGAGCAGGGGCGCTGTAATCTTGCTGGGCTGGGGCACTGTAGCTCGGTTGAGCAGGAGCGCTATAGCTCTGCTGAGCCGGGGCGCTGTAATCTTGCTGGGCAGGGGCGCTGTAGTCCTGCTGGGCGGGGGCGCTATAGTCCTGCTGAGCGGGGGCGCTGTAGTCCTGCTGAGCGGGGGCGCTATAGTCCTGCTGGGCAGGGGCGCTGTAGTCCTGCTGGGCGGGAGCTCCGTAGCCTTGCTGCACGGGCTCAGGGGCTCCGTATTCCTCCTTCACTTCGGGAGCCCCATACTCTTCTTGAGGCTGGGCGGGAGCACCGTAGCTTTCCTCGACCTGCGGAGCGCCGTAGCTTTCCTCAACCTGCGGAGCTCCATAGCTTTCCTCAACCTGAGGGGCACCATAGCTTTCCTCGACCTGCGGGGCACCATAGCTCTCCTCAACCTGCGGAGCACCGTAGCTTTCCTCAACCTGCGGAGCACCGTAGCTTTCCTCAACCTGCGGGGCTCCGTAGCTCTCTTCGACCTGCGGAGCACCGTAGCTTTCCTCAACTTGCGGGGCACCATAGCTCTCCTCAACCTGCGGCGCACCGTAGCTTTCCTCAACTTGCGGGGCACCATAGCTCTC